ATACTTGCAAAATACATTCTTCAACTAATTTATTTGTTCAATTTGAGGACATTGTCGTCGGAAAGTTAAATTTTGGCCGGAAAGTTACATGTCAATCTCCCGTTGTTGTAATCTTTTCCTAACGTTTGCAGCTGACTTGGATGTGGGCCCCTTTTATGACTTATTTCGAAACACTTCATTGTGCTCTGATCTCCCAAATCCCTCATTAGAACAATAAAAGCACAAAACCTAAGAGAAGAACGGAGGCTTCGTAATTCTTGGTCCGGCTTCTCCACATATGGAAGGAAGGTGAGTGTGTGTTCCTCTAAAGTGAGAATAATGGCTCAGGCAAGGATCTATGGAATATCATTGTGGAAGAAGGCCGGTGTTTTAACTTTATAGACTGATATATGACGAGGGAAGGAGGTTCCATGTGTGCTCCAGAAACAGAGTAAGAGAAAAAATTTTGTAGGTTTTGAATTTTGCTTGAAAAAAATAAATATTTTATATGTAGTATTACTTTGATATAAGAGAAAAAAAATTCTAATGTTAAAGGTTTTAACAAGACATTGGAACAAGAATAATAGTTGATTAGCAAAACTAATGAGTTGTCTTTTACCTGAACCGTTTCTATGGTTACAAATGGAGGCTTTTAAAATTGATAAGTGTCAAGAATTTAAAAAAAAATAGCCTGAAGTGCAGTTTTTTCTTTATGTTCATTTTTACAATTTCGTATTTGGAATTTATAAGAAATAAATTGAAGATGTATAATCTACTACTCTGTATTCAGTTTAATCTAGCTATTTTTTTTAATGTTTTATGAATCAAAGAGTGTTTTCTTTATATGCAGGATGTTTTAAAATAAGGAGTGTTTGGGAGGGAACAAAAAACAGGGTCTCAAGTCCAGGTCAACTAGGCCATATGAAAAAAAATATGAACAAGTGGCGCTGATGTATTAATTTCCGGCGGAATTATTACTTTTCGACATAAATGTCCTGAAATTGGACAAATATGTTAATTAGAGGATGTATTATGCAAGTAAATGAAGTTAGAGGACCAATATCAGGCACCACCAAAAGTAACGGGACTAATTTTACAAATTTCCCTTTTAACTAATATATTTATGTAAAAGTTACAAAATTTATACTTTTATGATAGTATGGAGTATTTTCAACAACGAACATTTTCATATAATTTTCTTATTATCAATATTACCGTGTATAAATATAATCGGTCAAAGTTGAACAATTTTGACTTGACAATTTGTGTTGGGCAAACTAAAAAGGGACGGAGGGAGTACTAACAACAGAATCACCTGAATTCTGTCACAAGGAATATGAGAACAATATAACTCAGAATCGATATGGTCGGGTTATTGTTAAAAATGGTGACAAACTTAGCCCCCCCGGTAAAGACGCTACAATTTCATTCCCATTTAAAGTTAAAACGAATGGTTTCGAGTCGGCTTCCATACTAAGTTTTTAGATGTTTCCTTTTGGACTGGAATTTGTTGGTCTGGTCTGATATGAATTGATCTGGTCTGGTCTGAATTGGTTTGGTCTGCTCTGGTAAATGTCTGGTCTATGTGTATTTTATAATTACGGAAGTCTGATCTCTGTGTATTTTATAACAGGGCCAGCCCGATCATATAAAAGGCCCGGTTCAAAATTGAAAATGAGGTCTTGAAGTATAAAACAAAATATTAATACTCACGCCGTTTTTAAATCCTTCGGTTTTTGTGGTTTTTAAGAAGAAAATAGTAGGGGTAGTACAGAGGTGTAAGGTAATGAAAAAGTAGGAAAGAAAGTATATCAAGAAGAGTAAAGTAATGATAAAGTATGAAAGAGAAAGTAGTATGCAAGCTCGTCCCAAAGGTAAGAGGGCTTTGTGTTAATTACTGTAATTAGGCCTTATGTTTAAAGAAATTGCACAATTGTAATTAACAATTGCATTTTAATTACATATAAACATTACTATTTGATGTTTTTTAAATACTAAGACAGGAATCTTTAATAAAATAAAAAAGAATTTTGTATATTATGTAGACTATATTTAAAATTTTGGGCCTTCTGAATCGAGAGACCCTGTGCGGTAGCACTTCTTGCACGCCCTCATCTACGGCCCTGTTTTATAACTACACAAGTCTGGTCTGAGCAGTTTTGTCTGATCCGATCTGACTTGGGACTGAAAACATCCTTCATCGGAATCAGCCAACCCTATATGTGAGGAAGTACATTAAAAAAAAATCTAAGGTGTAACCTACTTGGCTACACCAGTTGTCTACTAGTTACACTTTTACTCCTATGTCCTAATTTGATGTTCCCTTATTTTCCTTTTCGGGATGTCTCTTATCTCCCACTACCTCTTGCTAAGGGGGCTTCCAGTAAGGACCGCCGCACCATTTCCCACTACCTCTTGCTAAGAGGGCTTCCAGTAAGGACTGCCGCACCAAGGTGGACAGCCGCATCTGTCAAATGCTCTGGGTCAGCCATGTCTGCCACTGGAGAACCAAAGATAGCGGGTTTCGGCGGCCATGTGATGCCTGGACAGCGGGTTCCGAAGACCAGAGAGCCGGGCCAATTGTTGTGGGAGTGTGGGAGGAGGAAAAACCAACGGAGAGGGAGGGGTTGTCGCGGTCTGCCAAGGAAAAGTAGGCGGCAGAGAAGCAAACGGAGGGTATGAGCTAGCAGAATGAAACTACGAGCTCAGAATCGTCGAGATAGGAGAGGTCGGCATGGAGAGGCTGGTTGCGTCTCTTGGATTAAGGAGGCGCCGGCAAGGGAACCGCTACAATAGTCGTAGAAGAAGACACGTCTTGCAGAGAAGTAATCGCATATGAGACTAATGGGAAAGAAAGGAATAAGGACAATTTTGGAAACAACCCTGCTATAGGTACCCCAATTGGTACCCCCAATTTGTACCCCAACCTATTTTTGTAGCTCACATAAGTCCACCTCAATAAATGAATTGCCCCACTTTAATGAGATGCTTTTGTGAACCACAAAAATAGGGTGGATGTACAAATTGGGGTACCAATTGGGGTACCTTTAGCATTTTTCTTTTGGAAATTTCATACTTTTTCTTAATTTTTGTGCCCAAAAGTTTTGGGAACATCAAATCGGGATGAAGGGAGTAGAAGTTTACGATTTTTGGTTAAAAAGTTGGCCCACCCCAAATTGGCCCATGTGTATTCAAAATGTTCTTTCAACTGTAGGATCCCCTAAAAATTTATGTTGCACGGAAACGCGAAAATCATGAGCAAACGGGAAACGCCAACTTTTATTCAAAAAAAGGCTTATTTGGAGAGTTTTCAAAGAGTTTCCGAGAGTTTTCAAAACGGGAAACGTACTCTTTCCCGAAAGTTTCCGTGCTACATAGCTAAAAATTGTTCTAATAACTTGGTTAGCAGATTCGTATGAGTTGTGTTAAATAGCACCATGAAAAGTGAAATCAAACACTTCACCTACCCGATTTGTCTTCATGATATTGTGAATGATATAGATGAAAATTATGGAACTCAAACATAATTAAAAACATCACATCAAAAGTTGAGATGTTATTAAGGGGTGTTTGGATCTGATTCTCAAAACTGATTCTGCTCCTTCAGGGAGTAAAAGCAGAAACTGGAGTGTTTGGGTGAAATTCCAGAATCACTTCTGGAGCTCTAATTTACTCTCAGAATCAGTTTTTTTAAAAGCTGGGGGGTACCAGCTTCTGAAAACTGATTCTGATTCTGCTTCTGCTTTTAAAAAAGAAGCAGAAGCAGAATCAATTCCAAACACCCCCTAATTGGACCGGTTTTAGACTTAAACAATGCACATCAGATCATACTTTAATATATATAAAATACACATAAAATAGACAATTACTAGACCAGATTAGATCATATCACACTTACACAAACCACATGTAATCAAGTAAGAGCATAAAATTTCAATACAATTGAAAACAACATTATTATTTTACACCGGGTATAGGCTATGTTTGGCATGCATAAGTCCATGTCTTCTAGCTTTTGCACTATTTAAAAAAACTCTAAAAACTTCTAGTTGTATGTTCAGCATGTCAATTTTTAAGAGTTTTTATAAAAATAAAAGATCTTTTTTGAGATGCTACAGGGAGTAGCATCTGGGATAAGCCTGTGACTTTTAATATTAATTAGTCCTAACAACTTGTATACGAAACCAAATTAAATCAAACAGTCAGTTTTTTACCAAACAGCTAATACCTTTTTCTTTTAAGATTTTTTCAATCTAAAAGCTAACAGTTACTAAAAAGCTTACAAAAGTATCTTTTTAGCTAGTTGTGCCAAACATACCCATAATTTAAATCAAACGCCATTCATTATTAGCTAGCATGAACTCCCCGCATTAATGTAGCGTCATTAAGCCATTTATTTATTTATTTATTCATTTATTACAATGCTTTAAATTTGGAACATAACGCAACCGTAAGTTACTCTACGATATTGAATTTTAGACTACATCATATAAAAATCTTGCTACAACCCAATATGATACAAATGGTTTCTTTTTTACAATGTAAACGATATAGATGTTTTATTATAATGTAATAAAAAAATTATTGTTTTTTACCTCTGTCTAGTTTTCCTTGACTATGCAGTTTTTTCTATCAAATTTAGAAGCTGTAAACAAGACTACAAGAGGAGTTGGATAACTTTATTCAAAATTAAAGTTTCAAATTTGATAATCTTGAAATGTTTTTGAGCTAAATTAGTCTGAAATGTAAGAGTTTGGATTCCCATTTTGTGCGTGCTGCTGCATAGAATGATCCTCTTGAGTTGACTGCCCCACCAAAGCCACTGTCAAGAGACTCAAGACACCAGATTTGTCCAAGAAAAGTCTATTACTTCTTTCCAGCAGGCCGCAACCACCTTTGCACTCTATACTTTTTCATAATAAATGTGAATTATGAAAAGTGGATAACAAATAAAAACTGTATGACAATTCCCAGATATAAAACCATCCCCATCTACTATCTACTATATTAAATAAAATAGTAAAAGGAGTTCAGAATATAAGAGAAAGATGGCCGATAATGAATCCATCACCCTTTCCAAAAGAGAAGTGTTCAAGAAGAAATGGAAGCAAAGATCAAAAACCCGCAGGTTCCCGAGAGTTATCGGCTCTAACAAGCCATCATCTTCGAAGCCGAGGCAATCACTATTAAAATCACGATTCTGTTGTGGTTATACCGATCCATCCAGCTCAAGTGGTTGCTCAACTCCAGATGAACAAAGCCCTTTACAACAAGTGCCAGACTTCATCATGGCCAGCTCACCATCATCCTGTCATGACATCAACACATACAATGTTCAGGTGATCTGCCTCAACTAATATATTAAATTTTATTACTGGACTGTTTATTAGATGTATTTATTTATTTATTCCTTACTTATTAAAATCCTTATTATTATTATTATTATTATTATTATTTTAATTATTATATCTTTGCTTTCTTAAGATAAAAATATCAATAACTATATGAAAGATAGACCAAATCCTACAGATTAAAAAACATGGAGCAGCATCTTTGACTTTATTTTATTCTAGTTTATCAAGAATGAAACACTCTAGTTTACTTTTCTACAGTCTGCAACTCTTGATCACCAGGGAAAGGTTTTTGACGAAACAAATCCCGTGGATTGTTCGGATTCACGATCAGTGAACCTGGAGAACAAAACCAACAAGATGAAGAATTTTCGAAGCACGAAGTCATTTAGGAGAAAGGGGAGATCAAGAATCATGAAACAGACAAAACCTTTATTGGATGAAACAGAAACAGCATCAGAATCTTCTGCAACTGATATAGTAGAGGCTAAAGGGAAGGAAGAAATTTCTAAGGAAAGTCATCATATATCTGGATCTACTACCTTTGATGCTAGTTTTCATTCCCATGAAAACATGGGATTATCTGATCATAAATCTTTAGAGATTCTAACGAGGACATCTAGCTTGAGGAAGCCTTCTTTCAGGTTTTCTAAGGTCAAAATTGCAGATAAGCCTACTTGCTCTTCCACCATTAGAAATTCAAAGTTTCCTAGAAATCCTCCACTGAAACTGGGGAAATCTGAATCAGATATACTTCAAGTTTATAAAGTTTGTCCGTACCACCATTGTTCTCTTCATGGGAATACTCAAGATTCATCAACCTCATCAAAGCGGCTTGGCATGGTAAGAAAATCAATGAAATTGAAGAAAAACCTGAAACAGTTAACCGAAACTAACATGGATGGAAATCTTGATTCTGAATCTTCCGAGAAGAGCCTTCTTCCACCTGGCAGTCAGAAAGAGAAGCATATGAGCATGTGGAACCTCATTCGTAGACACATGTCTTCATCTCTTGCTGCAGAATCCAGAAACGTAGAAATTTCTGGATTAAGAGCTGATTCTTTTGGAGAAGAAACGGCCACTTTGGATCAGGATGAAAAGGTTCTTGCTGTTAAACTTGTACGAGAAGCGATAGAGAGAATTCTTCTTCCAGAGGTTAGTGACATTGCACCAGACCAAGAACCAGTCGAAAAGAATTATCACAGTGAAGGTAAGATAAATATTTATCATTATTACTATTACTGTTGTTGCTGTTGTTATTTTTATTTATTCCCTCCATTCCAGATTAATTGACTTTTAAAAAGTGTACACATATTATGTAATAGTACAATATGCCCCCGTCTATCACTATAAAAGGTACTCCCTCCGTATCACATATATCTTCCCACTTCCAAAGTGGGTGAGATTAAGAATAGTGAAATGAGGTATGAATTATTGAGGGTATGATGGGGAGATAATGAAATAATGTGATGAAATGAAGGATAAATCCAAAAAAAAGTAGGTGTAATAGTGTATTATTTTTTAAATTATTGAGGATATGATGGGAAGATTTAGAAATGAGAAGATATAAATGTTACGTCCAAAAAAGGAAAGTGGGAAGATATGAATGTTACGGAGGGAGTATGCATTAGTACATTACATGCATTGAACTGTCGTTCCTTTCAAGGCAGAAAAGCTTTGATGTGGGGTAGTTAATATAAGCATATTGGGAGATTAAGAAATTGCATTGAATTCATAAAAGGACCATTAATTTGAAAGTTTTATTTTGCTAAAAGTAGAATTCCTATAGAACGGAGGGAGTACCTGATTGCAAACTGTAATAAGATGTGTTTATGATTTTTTGACATTAGGTTCTGCAGACATAAAAACAGTGGAAAACTACAATGCACCTTCTGGTTCAGAAGTGATGAACACCATAGCTACTGATAATTATGAAGGTCAACATACAGAGGGATCAAAAGAAGAGGTTCCAAATATATCTAACAGGAAAGCGCCAAAACAGTGGAGTAATCTGAAAAAATGGATCCTGCTCCAACGCTTTACCAAGGAATTGGAAAGAGTAAGAAGACTAAACAAGAGGAAGTCAAGGAATTTGCAGGTAGAGCCTGGTCTTGAAGCAGAAAAGGTTCATTTGAGACATCAAACTGTGGAGGAGAAGAAACAGGCAGAAGAATGGATGCTTGATTATGCACTTCAACAAGCAATGCGTGAACTCGCCCCAACTCAAAAAAGGAAAGTGGAACTACTAGTAAAGGCATTTGAAACTATGGTTCCTCTCCAAGGAGATCAGAATATTCAATCCGCATTTCCCAAGCTCGAAAGTGATGGAGAAGCAGATGATGCCATTTGCAAGGCTGAGAACCTCAATAAGGAAGCATCTACGGAGTCCGTACCTGCACAGTCTGTACAACAGCTTGATGAATTCCATGGAGGATATTCCACTAATGATGGTGCAGGCAAAGCACATGATGGTACAGGCAAAGCACAGATGGGAAACCAAAATTACATTGCCATGTGGCATATGGTGTCTCAACATGTTCTGTCAGGCATTGCGTCAAACACTAAAAGTGCGCTGCTTGATGAAACAGATGATGAATCCGAAGGGAGCCTCACTTTGGGAGAAGCAAAATTCAAACTTCCTTGTGATGAAGAAAATCATGGTCTTGATTCAAGCTGCCAGAAAAGAAGCTTTAACAGAGACGACGCCATCAAACTCGTCAGAGAGGCAGTGAACGAGATCCTCATAACACAAATTCAAGATGATACCTTTGACTCAAAGCCGGATCAAACTCATTTGAGTTTGGGAGAGACGAGTCTGGAAGAAAATGAGTTAGTAGCTAAAGGAAAAGAATCGGGAACTGATAATCTCACTGAAAATAAAAAAATCAGAGGACCATCACTAGCTAAGAAAGAAGAAGTAGTTGAAGCAAAGCCTGAACTGCAGAAATCCAATAAGTGGGGTAAGCTGAAAAAGCTTCTTATTCTAAAGAGATCAATCATGGCCCTGGAAAATGCTAGGAAAATCAAATTCCAGGAACCACAACATCTGTCACTGATGCCTAATCCAGAACCAGAAAGAGTTGATCTAAGGCATCAGATAATGAATGAGAGGAACAAGGCCCAACAGTGGATGCTTGATTATGCAGTGCAGCATATTGTGACTGCACTCACTCCTGCCAGGAAGAGAAGGGTGGCAATGCTAGTGGAAGCTTTTGAAGCTGTTGTTCCATTTCCAGATAATATAAGCATATAATATAAGATCAACAATTATGGAATTCAAATCTTAGTGTTGAGGCTTTAAGTAAAACTGTGAAAGCAAACACCAATACACTATAGGGATTCTTAGTTATGGTATTGATTGATTGTTTTGTTGGTTTGAACAGATTGCGTTTCATTTTCTTTTCTTTCTTTTTAGAACTTCATCTATCCTCATTTGGCCAGGTTAATTCTATTAATATCTGTACAACACTGTGTATAAATAATGATTGCACCATTATTCGAGCTAGCTCAACTGCTCAAGAGGTTAAATGATGGTTGTTTGAGGAAACATTCTCAAATTTACCTTCGTCCTGACTTGAACTCAAGACATCTCATATGTATAAGATCTTAAGTTTAGAATTAGCCATTTGAATCACTCTCATTATCGACCATTTCAAACAACACTCGAGAAGGGATCCTCCATATATGGCTTTGTTAGTAATATACGGTTCGTGAATAATACAATAATACGTACGTTCGTGTATAATACGACACAATTATATAAAATACGGCTTAATATATGTTTCATACGTTCGTGAAATATATAAAGATACGGACGCGTTTTAAACGTTTCACAATTTAAAAATATGGCATATAATATGTGTCTTATACACTAATTTAATGATAGAAATAAAAAGTTATTTAGCATTTGAACCACATTCTTCAACAATTTAAAATGTACGGAATAATTTTTTCATATATACGGATTTGAACACATAAGTACAATAAGTAATAAAAATGGCATTGCCTATTTGAGTAGAAGTAGAGAGATATTATTAGAGAATAGTTGATATTACTGTGACCGTGAGTTTCGTGAGCTGCCACAACATTTTACGATCTCTTTGGAGTCTTGGTATGTGTGGAGAACATTAGTAGTACAATAGTAGTATTGAAAAGGATTACGAATTTAAGAAGCTAATTTATTAAATGTAATGACTATGAAACAATTAACGAACATATAAGGCATAATTTTTTAAGCAATATAAATAATATTGAGCAGCTAAACATTTCGTTTCAGTTGTATCACTACATTAGGCTTCCGTTTAATGGTGTGTGTTTTTGAATAAAATATGTATCAATACATACAGTACGTGTATTATACATTTTATGCTTAAAGTACGTGAGGTTTCCAGAATTTTCTGAAAAATTCATAAACAAGAGTATTATACGGGAATAAAATACGTATCAATACGTACGGTACGTGTATTATACATTTTATTCTTAAAGTACGCGAATTTTTCCGAATTTTTTGAAAAATTCATAAACGGGAGTATTATACGCGAATTATACGTTTGAGTGTATTATACGCGAATTATACGCGAATAAACTAACAGAGATATATGGTGAAAAAAACTCTTTTTAGATCGATCCTAGTAAACATAAGAGTAAATGTCAGAAAAATAACTATTCAAAATACCATCATCAAGTCACATAACAAAAATCAATTCAAATTGTTATCGTCAAACAACAACGCTACCTTGACAGAGAAAAAAAAGCCATCTCTATATACGAAGTACATTTTATTGACATATTGACTGGTTGGAACAAACCTAGTAAAAGTTAAAAAATGTTTGGGATGAGAACTATTAGTCTATTACTTCAAAAAGAAATTAGGAATCCTTCGAATTAACTGTTTTTAAAAAAAAAACTAAAAAACAACAACTCGGCTCTAGTGATTTTTTGAAGAGGTATATAAAAACCAGCATTGGGGTAATGGGCTGAATGTGATATTAATGGGTCATTAAGACGAAGAAGGCCCATGAGTGGCTTGACTAGGCGGCTAGGCCCATATTTAAAATGGCCTTGTTAGTTCAAGTAAAATTCGATTGTGGAATATTAAGTTATTTGTAGGATTCATGAATTAAAATTTTTGTTTCGTGTTATTTTGGATTCAAGAAAACTCCAACAGTTAAAACTTCAGTTTTTTTCATTTGAAAGATCATAAAAATTGGTGTCATATAAAAGATTATAAAAATTCATCAATTTTGAAATATTTTTTTAAAAAATACTCCCTCCGTCCCCGAAAGAAGTCCCCCATTTAACTTTCACACACTTTTATGCAAGTAAACTTACCAGAGGGTAAATTTTACTGTTTTGACACTGTTTGACACTGTTTGACACTGTTTTGCACTATTTGACACTGTTTTAATGTAGATAACTTTCTATTTAAGGAAATGGGAATTTAAATTAGGGACATCCAAATAAGGAAAGTGATAACTTCTTTTGGAGACGGACGGAGTATGTTGTAATGGTGTCACCATGACGTCACCCAGAATTAAATAACTATGTGCATCGCTCTCCCTTTTTTTTTTCTTTCAGACTGTCAACTCACCCTCCATATTTACCCTCTTCACCCCTTCTCCATTTTTATTACCTAGTTTAGTCTACCATTACATTAAATTAGGGCAAATATACTAGTGGAGCCAAAGGCGAATATTAGGTCCTTGACAACCCTCAATTTAAAAAAAAAAACGACTAATTAATTGTTCGATGTGTGAGTATCGGAAACATTTTATTGAACATTAGAAGTCTAAAAATGAGACCATGGTATCTGCTTCATATTTTCGAATTCACTTTTTTTTATTTTTTCTTTTATAAGAACTTATTTAATTATATTTATAATCAACTTCTACGAACTTTGACGTTTGAATCTAATATAGTCTGGTACTTTGAAATATGCATTGATATTACATTTTAAAATAATTTTTTTTTTATTATGCTCAAATTTTATATGAGCTGATGAGCATACATAACTTACGAAATGAGCAATGGAAATTTTAGAATGGGCATTACACCAATTTGCATAAATATGATATTTTAAAAAGACCATTACACTAATATCAAATGAGCATAAAGTACAAAAGTTACGCAATGAGTATAAAAAAATCAAATAAATCATTTAAAATTTCTAGTATGCTCAAACATTAATTTATGTATGCTAATAAACTTAAAGATTAAGATCCCAATGTAAACCGTTGAATCTATAGACGTTGATGATGCATCGGATCAGCAGTAACCCTTTGTGTTGAATTTTATCTTATGCAGATTGTAAAGATGAGGGGCAGCTCATATCAGGAGCTTCTGAAGATAAGCCCCGTGCGGACAAGACCATCAGAGGGTCTTCCCGGTGGAATTTTTTGATGAATTATTTTGAGCATGTTCCTCATCAAGTCTTCTTTATGCATACCAAATTTCAGCTCAAAATTCAACCGGGAAGGCAGTCAAATAAATTCTTGAAACATATGACGCATTCTGCGCACATATAATGTGTTGTATGTTCTTTAAAAATGTGTTGTATGTTTCAAGAATTTATTAAATTGTCTTCCAGATCGAATTTTGAGCTGAAATTTGGTATCAATAAACTAGACTTTATGAGTAACATGTTCACAAAATTTCATCAAAAGATTTCAGACCCTCTGATAGGAACGGAACTCTTGTAAAGATTATCCATAGGATTCTGTAATTGTCTTCAACGAAGACATCCTTTTGGATATCTTCTACGGATAATCAGAATGATTTGTAGCACAGAGGGTAATCACACGCAGCAGTTATACTTCGATCATCGCATTTTCCCCTAAACCTAGCAGATTTGTAGCACGGAAGGTAATCACTCGCAACAATTATATACTTTGATCATCACATTTTTTCCTCAAACCTATCCCTTGACATATGGATAATGGAAATGGTCGAAGCACTGGTGCAGCCCGCACAACAATTATGATCGCAACTTTAAGATTCCAATATGTTTAGAAAAATATTCGGGTTGTAACATGTGTTGAAGGTATGGCCGGTTCGAGCCTAGTAGGATACTCCCTCCGTCAATTAAAACGTTATCAAGTTTAACTGGCACGAGAACTAATAAGGTAAAAACAGTGTGGTAGCTAGGTTTGTGCAGAGGAGATGAAATTGATTGAAACCACAATTTTTTTGCTTAAAATGGAAAGTAAGAAAGTTAGTGAAAAATTCAAAAAAAAAATTAACAAATTTTAATGGACAATGTGAATATAATTTTACCATTCAATGTGAATACAATTTTACCGGTGGGTGTAGCTTAATTGGTAGCGAGGGAGTGCCACAAGGGTTAGGTCTCGGGTTCGAATCCCGGCAACTGCGATGAGGGGTTACTAAGCTTAAAATGCATAGGGCTTCTGCAAGTACCGGGGACAGAGCCCCACTTTCTATCTATCAGATTGTGATTATAGTTCAATTTACATCTTCACATCGTGTCGTCCGATCGATGTTGGGAATCCTCAGGGATGGGGTGTTATCTTTTTAAGGGTTAATTTTACCATTCAATATGGCCCCTGTCACTCCTGGCTACGCCTTGGGTTCATGTACTATAAACATAAATTAAATAAATAAATAAATAAATCGATCTCCTCAATCTCAGTTGGACGTGTAGCACGTGATACAAACCAAATTCCTTTCATTGCCTAGCTACCACCCTGAGTTGGAAGGGTAGCTACGAACTGATCAGCGCCACATGTTACATTCCCAACTTCAGTGTCTGAGTGTCTCGTTCTCTTGCACGTCACACCTCGCAATGTCATAAAGTAAACCACCTACGGAGTACTACGTAACATTATTCTTTATATTTTACCTTATTTAAACAAACTTTTTTTTGACTGAATAAACAAACTTTATTGAAAAGTCAAGTTTGTACGTAGTAATATTGCTTTCCCTTTTTATCCAACAAAATGCTTGTTGTATCCATTCTATACTCACCTTATACTCACCATGTTTATGAAAGTTTTTTTTGTCTGTGAACCCGATTCACAGACAATATTTTGTTTGTGCAAAATATTGTCAGTGAGCCCCGTTTCATAGACAAAAAAAACCTTCACAAACATAGGTGAGTACAAATGTGGGTATAAGAGTGAGTACAAAGATCATTTTTTGTTTATCCAACTACTACGTATGAACTATCCAAGAATTGCTGCCGCCTTTTTTTTTTTAAATTTCAACCGTTTAACTTTAATCTATGTTAACGCACAATATTAACTATAATTATATTTAATTAAATATAAATAAATATCTCAAAAATTTAATTTTCTGGAAGTGCATATTAAATGACATTCTATAATACTCCGTATTTTATAGATAATAATTTTATTATATATTACTACATAGTAGATAATCACGATCAAAGTAGTAATCATGGACAAAGTAATGTTTCACAATAGTGTGAAAATCACAATACATATTAAACTGTTAAAAACAGAAGTATAGAGTAGAATACTAGGATATTATAGTCTAGCCTAAGCACATGTTAATATTATTGTCATTTTTTCCTAATCAAGCTCTACTTCGCCGAATTTAGGAGGATATTATATGAGAGTTTTCTAACAATATTATTAAAATAGAATTCATTGTGGGCAAAAATAGTGCTGCATGACTATATGAGCATTATAATTAGTCTAAAGATACCATCATAATCACGCACTAAAGCATCAGCAAAAATACGTACAATATTTTAAGGAGAAAAATTCTTCAATCGGAACTTATCTTGGGAAGAAAGTATATTATTAAATTAAATATGCTTTAAAAGTTTTACCTCTATTTTGAAAATTTTGTATATTATTAAATTTAATTTTATCTTTGATATTCTTTAAATTTGTGATCATTTTAAAAAGTATTGCATAAAAGATTAGGGAGATTTCCCAAAATAGGATTAAATGAAGGTTGGAATTTCAAAATATGTCTACTATTTGTTATTACCCAAATAAGACTAACATGTCAATATTTATTGTCATTTTGTAGGTGTGACTGTCAAATAGTTGTAGTACAATGCATTTAACAACACAATATTTATTATAATTAATGACAGTATTTTTCAATCATGGTAGTATTTTTTATACATGAGAGTAACAAATCTTATTTCGGGAAGAAAAACATAATAGTCCTATTTTGAAATTTTAAACCTCAATTGCTTCTATTTATAGCAATTTCCCAAAAGTTTAAGAGTGTGCCTTTCAAAAAAAAGATTAAGAGTGTGCATAGGGTAATAAACTTCAAATGCAAGGATATTTCGGAAAGTTTCACCTTTTTTTTTTGTCTTACCACCGAATATCCCTTCGTAATATTCCCATGATCCTCTAATCGAATTGAATAATAATATGTAATAAGGAGTAATATATTTAAATGTACCCCGAATAGTATAATATAGTATAATAATATATTTAAAGCTCGCCGCAACTATCTTATTCAACCTATATCAATGAATTCGTAATTGTGTTTACGACTATTAGAGTATCAATGCCATTTTTGAATTTTCTGTTTCACATTTCATTTTTAGAGCCCGTTTGGTGACCTTTTATCAGTCACGGATTTAGTCACGGACTGCAGTGTAAAATTTCCGTGACTAAAAAGTTTAGTCACGGTCATCCGCCGTGACTAAATCCGTGTCTTAATTGGCGTGACTAAATGAAGTCACCGCCACATAACCGTGACTAAATTTAGTCACGGATTAGTCACGGTCAACGACCGTGACTAATTTGATGCCGGAAACCCCACTCCGACATGTTAGTCACGGCTTGTGACCGTGACTATAATTTTTTTTTTAAAAAAATAAATATTAGTCACGGCTGTGGGCCGTGACTAAGTTTTAAAATTTTCAAAATTTTCAAAAGACCGCCCGCGGGTGTAATCTAAAATTTTGAAACTAGTCACGGTTGTCGACCGTGACTAAGTTTTTTTTTTAAAAAAAAATAATTTTTTTTATTAAAAACAAATAATAATTTCGAATTAACTGTAGTCACGGATATGGCCGTGACTACTATTTTTGTTTTGTAAAAAAAAAAAATTTCCATTTTTTTATGAAAGTTGTTTTTTAAAATTACTTTTTAACACGTATTTTTACAAATTAAATTTAAAAATGTTATTCTAATTTTTATCCATGTTTTTATACTATTGAATTATTGAAAATATTATTCTAATTTTTTAAATTTAAAATTACATTTTAAAGAGTAAAGACATACAACAAACTTAATAAATATTGTGACAAACTTTTAAATGTTTTGACAAACAACAAAGTACAAATGTATGATGATTACATGTCCCTTCGTGGGACTCCATTATGAAAAAAATCTGGATTTTCTTCTTCTTCTTCATCTTCATCATCAACAAGAAACTCATCTGGGTTCACGGGGGGGTCTTCAGGGTCAGGTCGGGTTCCTCCTCGGGGTGCTCCTCGGGGTCCTCCTCGGGGTGCTCCTCGGGGTGCTCCTCGGCCTCCGTGGCTCGGTGTGCCACTACCTCCTCCGGATGACCTCGCAAAATCAAAGGACATAGAACCGAAATTCGGGGAGATCATAGGCATGCCACCATATCCGGAGTTGGGGAAAAATCCCATACCGCCCATGTGCGGAACTTGAGGAGTTTGCTCAGGGTGGAATACGTACGGGGGAGGAAAAGGCTGTTGCGGAGGCTGGAATCCGGCACGCATGTACCGTTCCATCTCCTCCAACCGGGCTTTTGTGGCAGCATCTGCTTTCCGCTGCTCCTCCCATCGTCGTTCGTGCTCCTCTAGTTCACGCTGCATTGTAGCAATACGGGGATCTTCTCCCCGCCTTGACCGAGAAGAGGAAGCGCCGGTGCTTCGATCATACAAAATCCGTTGCCCCTCGGCCCCCAAGCATGGAACCCGGCCCTTGTAAACCCCGGCCGCCTCAATGGCCGCCTCATCATCCGCATCGGAATCGAGGTCGTCCTCCTGGGTCAAGCCTCGTGCCGCACGCTGCCTGTCAACGGATTCGTTGTACTTCGTCTGCATTTTTAAAAAATATTTTTTAAATGCTACATGGTTAGATTTGAAATGTTACTAAATAACAACATATGATGTTACATACTTCGAAGTCAGCGAGGCGGGGTGGCAGATCGGCTTCAGATTCCTCGTCGTGCTTCGTCCAGCAATGCTTGACGAGCCGGAGAACATCAACCCTCTTCTTCTCGGGACCAGCCTAAATGGTGTGAAAAAGACTTAAGTAAATTTTTTATAATGAAGGACTGTGATGGTGTAAGGTTTTTTGAATAGCACTTAATTACAAGAGTTTCTTTATGGGCATTCTGAGATTTGCGACCTCCGTGCCACTGCATCTCCAAGGCCTTCTCGGACATCCGGTTTTTCTTACCGGATTCACTTCTGGCCAAGAATTTCGGATCAGAAGACCAGTGGCGACAAAGGTTGGACCACACTTCATCCGAAACCCATTTAGGCTTTTTCGCACTTTTCCGGGCACGCTTAAAAGTGGCGCGAAGCCAGGTCGAAATCCTAGCATTGAAGGCTCTAAGAATATCGGGACCGTTTGCGTGAGTCCAACGATAGCGAGCCTTTATTAAAACAAATTGAATTAATTAATCACTAGGTATATATTAGGCCAATACAATAAGGGAGGGAACATTCATTTATTTTTACCTTGAACAGGTTCCACCATAGTTCGCGAACCTTGGGGTCAACATCCGAGTACGTGGCCCAAGTGCCAAGAAAGTGTCCTCCGATTATGCTTTTGATGCCTTTGAACACTTGTTCGTCACTTAAAAAAATTAATAGTATTTATTTATATAACATTTGGTTAGATTATTTAACATTATTTAAAATTATTGAAAATAAGGTTTGATCATAACTACTTACAAAGCAACATCTGCAGGGGTCACCCAAACAGCTCCGTTGTTGCGCTCCGCTTCGGACATGGGCGCATAATTAGGTCGGGGAGCTGAGGTCGATTGTTCGTTGCTCATCTAAAATATATTAATTTAATTTGTTTTTTGTTAGAACTCTTATAATAGAAGATCAACAAGAAAGGTAGAACATTTCTGGAGAAGACTGACAATTAAAACCAAAACAGTTTTTAGTACATCAGTAACATGTGTACTTCTCAAAGATTCCAAGCTGATATGACAACAGAGCCATTTTTACTCCTTAAATAACCCAATCATCGCCCCACAGATTCGGCAAAGACGATCAAAAGTTAAAAAACTACCTCCTCTGTTTTCCCAGTCCACAAAAAAATGGGGTCTCATCCCGAAGACTTCTGTAACGGCAACGCCGTCTCTCATCCTCCTCTCCACGTTCTTATGGTCTCCTTCCCCGGCCAAGGCCACGTCAACCCTCTCCTCCGCCTCGGCAAGCGTCTCGCCGGAAAAGGCCTTCTCGTCAGCTTCTCCGCCCCGGAATCGGTCGGAATAGAGATGAGAAAGGCCAACGCCAAAATCAGTGAAGAACCCACTCCTTATGGTGACGGGTTCATCCGATTCGAGTTCTTCGACGACGAGCTGGACAGGTCGGGCCCTCACGGGCACGACCTTGACTTCCAGCTCGACCAGATTGAACGGATCGGGTCGGAGAGAATCTCCGAAATGATCGTGAAATACAAAGAACAGGGGTCCCCTGATGTTATCATGCTCTTAAGTCGGCTATGCCATTACTCAGCATTTAACTTACATACTCTGTATGTATGAAATTCAAATCATGTGGCCGTGAATTATTTTATTTCACTTTTACTTTGTTTGATTTTATGAATTATGACTAATGCTTATATCATATTTGAATAATTATCCCAACGGAAAATATTTAAATATGATATCAATCTAACTAAGTCATTATTGTGTGCTAAAGTGTGTAGCAAAACGGCAAACCCAAAGGCGAGTCGTTCTGTGTCACATAGTGAGAGTTTATTTTCCAGCCTAATTAATATGAATATTTTATTTTACCCAAAGGTGACTTATAATATTCGTATGGCGTATTATTAATATTCCTATAGCGTATTTTAGCCTAATTAATATGAATATTATATTTTGCCCAAAGGTGACTTATAATATTTGTATGTCGTATTTTATCAATAAAAAAATGTCCGTAACACTTGAGTGTTGGACATAGCCAACGCAAATCCAACACTCAAGTAGGACCTTAGTTTAGTCTATTTTGGTGTTATGATAGACTTTATCTTCAATATGCTGAAATTTGCTTACTTTATGTGATAGCCCCTATATGTCATATTTCACTTTTGTTCTTCTAAATTTATGTCTTAATTGCATTGATTCAGCGACTAATCTATGTCTTAACCATGGGATTTAACCTCAAACTGACACTAACTTCTCGTCATAGCGAGATACTGTCAAATTAACCCTTGGAATGATAAGTTTAGACTATGCCTTGAGGCATGATCCTCCCGCTCCACTTACTGATGAAAGTTCACAAGAGCAAAAATGAGTGTATGAACAGTGGGAGCGATCAAACAAAATGTCTCTCATGGTCATAAAGAATTCCTTCTCGATTGCCATTCCCGGAGCCATACCTGACTCAGAATATGCTAAAGAGTATATGAACTCCGTTGAAGAGCAATTTAAAGGCACTATCAAGGCACATGCGAGTACTTCGATTCTAAAAATGTTGATGACAAAGTACGATGGTGTGAGCGGTGTGCGTGAGCACATCATGATGATGACCGACATGGCCCATAAACTTAAAGGTATGGACATGGAGATAAGTGAGGGTTTTCTAGTGCATTTTATTATGACCCCTCTTCCCGCACAATTTGATTCCTTTAAAATAAATTACAACACCTAAAGGGAGAAATGACAAATGAGTGAACTTGTAGCCATGTGCGTACAAGAGGAAGAGCGCTTAAAGATTGAAAAGCCCGATGTTGCTTATGTGACAACCACACACCAGAAAAAGAAAGGCAAGTATAATATCACAGAGAGCTCAAAGATCCAGCAAACAAATGCAAATGCGGCTTTTGGCTCTACCGCTCCTAAGGGTCCTTTTCGTTGTAAATTCTGCCATCAGAAAGGGCATAGCCAACGAGACTACCCAAAATTCAAGAAGTGGCTAGAGAAGAAGGGTAACCATCTATTTATGATTTATGAGTCCTTTAATATATTTTCCTATAAACACATGCTGGATTTATTTTGGTTCTATGGTACATGTTACAAACTCTTACGGGGATTCCATACAATCCAGAGATTGGAAAGAAATCAAAGAACCATTAATGTCGGGAATGGTGATGATTTAAGTATTGAAGCCCTAGGAACTTTGCAATTAGTTATGCGAAGTGGTCATTGCATTAACTTATATGATACTCTTTAGTGCCGAGAATGACTCGAAATCTAGTATCTGTACATAAGTTAGACAATGATAGATATTATGTGACATTTGGTAATAATAAAGTCACCATTAGCTTAGATTTCGACATTGTTGGTCATGATTATTTGGATGGAAAACTTTATAAAATGTACCAAGACGACCAATTCTCAAAATCATTGTTGTCATATAATGTCAATGAAAACTCTCTTAAAAGGAAATGAGGCTTGGAAACCTCATCCATGTTATGGCATCAACGTTTGGGTCATATATCATGAGACAGAATGTTAAGACCCGTGAGGGATGGAGTATTACCAATTCACAACTTCAATGATTTTGAGACATGTGTGGAATGCCTTGAAGGCAAAATGGAAAAGGGAAATAAACAGGGTGCCACAAGGAGTTCTAATTTCTTAGAACTTATACACACAGATATTTGTGGACCTTTTCCTGGCAGAATTTCTGGACATAAGTCATTTATCACTTTTATAGATGATCACTCACGTTATATGTATTTGTATGTAATTAAAGAGAAATCTGAATCACTTTAAGGTCGATGTTGAAAATCAACTCGACCGTAAAGAAAGGGTAGTGAGATCGGATAGAGGGGGTGAATATTATGATCGACATACTCATATTGGTCAGGCTCTTAGTCCCTTATTTGATTTTTGTCAAGAACAAGGGATTGTGAACCAATTTATCATGCCAAGTACTCCTCAACAGAACGATGTTGCTGAAAGGAGGAATAGGACTCTCATGCGTATGATAAGAAGAATGTCCACCAATACCACCTTACCTCAATTCTTATGGATCAAGGCATTAAAAGGGGACATTTCATATACTCAATAGGACTCCTTTCAAATATGTTCCTAAGACACCTTATGAAATGTGGTTAGGAAAGAAACCGAGCTTGAGATATGTAAACGTTTGAGGATGCCCTGCCGAAGTTGAGCTCTAATCCTCTCAACAAAGAAAGCATGACATGAAAACAGTCATTAGTTTCTTTATTGGGTATCCAGAACGATGAAAAGGATACAAATTCTATTGCCCTTTCTTATTCAAGTCGCATAGTTGAAACTCGTCATGCTGAGTTCTTAGAGAACTCTAATGTTAGTGGGAGAAATACACATCATGATGTTAATTAACAAGAAGTGCAAGAGGAGGGCCCAACGACCCCATTACCTCTTTATCCAATTGCACCTTTGTTAATAACATTGGCCCACCTAGTATAACTCCCGAGGATAATGTTGCTCTAGATATGCCATTAAATGAAGGCACACAAATTTTGGAGAAGCAAATCCCTAAAGTTACGACAGAACCTCAAGAACCCGAATTTTCATTAAGATGTTCATCGAGGTCTATAAGACCTGCTAACTTCGATGATTACATAACCTATCTTAGTGAAGCTGATTTGGATATAGGGAAGAATAATGATCCAACCTCTTATAACGAGGCCATTAGTAGTGACCAATCCACTCAATGCATTGTAGCTATGATAGACGAGCTTGACTCCATGTGAAAGAATGACGTTTGGGAACTTGTTGAACTACCTATGGGGGTAAAACCCGTAGGATGCAAGTGAATTTTTAAAACCAAGTCAGACCCGAATGGAAACGTCGAAAGATATAAAGTACGTTTGGTTGGTAATGGCTACACTCAAAAAGATTTTGTAAGGATCGTTATGGTCTTAGTAGCCCATTTTGATTTAGAGTTACATCAATGGACGTTAAAACAACTTTCCTAAGTGGTGATTTACATGAAGACGTGTTTGTGACACAACCAGAAGGTTTTAAGTCAAATGGTCAAGAACACCTCGTATGTAAATTAAAGAAATCCATATACGGGGTAAAACAAGCATCACGACAGTGGTACTTGAAATTTGACGAAGTCATTAGGAAGAATGGCTTAAGTAAAATGAAGTGGATCAATGTACCTACCTCGAAATGAGTGGGAGCAATTTTTCCATACTTGTCCTTTATGTTGATGATATTCTTTTGGCAAGTAACAGTCTGAATTTGTTGCATGAAACAAAGCGCTTACTTTCATGGTACTTCGACATGAAAGATTTTAGGTAAGCTTATGGAACATTAGGACTGTTTCAAAAGGCTTACATTGAACGTATTCTTGCACGTTATAACATGCAACATTGCTTTCCTCAGTTACGCACTCCTGTAGTTAAAGGGGATGTTTTCGGTTCTTTTCAAAGCCCGAAAACAGAGGTAGAAAAGGAACAAATGAGAATGATATCTTATGCTTCGATAGTTGGAAGCCTAATGTATGCTCAAGTTTGTACTCATCCCGATATCGCTTATATTGATGGAATGTTAGACCTGTATCAACATAATCTCGGTTTAGATCATTGAAAAGCGGCAAAGAAAGTTCTACGATATCTTCAAGGGACAAATGAATACAAACTAACTAATAGAAGAACTGATAACTTAGAAGTGATTGAATTTTCGGATTCCGACTTTGCGAAATGCAAAGATGATGAGAAATCTACTTGGGGTATATCTTTATGTCAGCATTCTGACCTATCTCGTGGAGAAGTCATAATGAAAAATTGACAACGACCTCAACCATGATGGCGGAGTACGTTGCTGTCTAATATGCAACTTGCCATTGAATGTTATTAAGAATCATAATTAATGGACATAAAGTCGTGAACTCCATATCGAGACCATTGAAGATATAATGTGATAATTTTGCAACCATTACTTCTTCGAACAATAAGAGTTCGAGTGGTGTCGAATTATATCTTGACACAAAGTTCTTGTTCATACATAAACAAGTAGAGGAAATCATCATTTGTGTCGATTAGATTATCACTCATGATATGCTTCTGGATCCAATAACGAAAGGTCTACCACCCAAAGTCTTCCAAGAGCTCGTAACGAAGACGGGTTTTATTAGAGATCTTATATGAAAGCATATTATTGTAAACTTCCTCAAATGTCTTAAGTATTTTGTCTATACTAATGTATGCATGCACTTATTTCTCTATAGACAAATATATACAAATTAATATTGTATATATCCATCATTTTGGCATTAAATTTTCTAAGTGTTTTATGTTAAAGTTTTAGTATAATTGGTGGGGGTCTTTTGTTGATAACAACAAAATGACTGTATCTTTTTGCTATGACTTTAATATGAAACTTGATGGGTATTAATTTTGGCAAAACTTATGAATACTCATCATAAATGGTCACTCGGCCAAGTGGGAGAATGTTGGAATATTTTCCATTTTATATGTGGCCTTAGGACCATTCATAATACTTATTTAATTATTACTATTTTAATAGTAATTACGCCAATATGATATAACGTGTCCCCGTCTTACCTAAACATTACTTGATGGGAGTAAGTGTAATTATTACAAGGGGACAATTGATTTCCTGTTAGATGTCTATTAATTAAATAAATTAATAAGACGTGACCATTCATTTGTGTCTCTTCTTTCATAATAAACGAAAGGACACATTGTTTAGTCATGTCCCTTCTCTTATGTCCCCATAAGTCTATAAATAACACCAATTCCGTTCTATGGGACATACTAATCAATCCATCACTAAATTAGACATCATAACGGGAATCATCATTTCATCACGAACAAGATAGGATTCCATTCAAGTAAGTAAATCATTTCTCATACTTGTTATATATTGTTGTGTTTGATTTGATTAGAGAAGATCAATGAAACATTAATTCGTTCAGATTATTAACAAATAAACTTAAAGATTAAGATCCCAATGTAAACCGTTGAATCTATAGACGTTGATGACAGGGGCGGACCGTAGTAGAGACCCAGGGGGGTTACCGTCCCCCCAATGAATTTTTTTAGAGTATATATATACGAAAAATAATTTTCTCCCCCTCAAAAAATAATTTTCTCCCCCCCAAAAATATTTTGAACCCCCCCAAGAGGGATTTCCTGGGTCCGCCCCTGGTTGATGATGCATCGGATCAGGAGTAACCCTTTTTGTTGAATTTTATCTTATGCAGATTGTAAAGATGAGGGGCAGCTCATATCAGGAGCTTCTGAAGATAAGCCTCGTGCGGACAAGACCATTAGAGGGTCTTCCCGGTGGAATTTTTTGATGAATTATTTTGAGCATGTTCCTCATCAAGTCTTCTTTATGCATACCAAATTTCAGCTCAAAATTCAATCGGGAAGGCAGTCAAATAAATTCTTGAAACATATGGCGCATTCTGCGCACATATAATGCGCTGTATGTTCTTTAAAAATGTGTTGTATGTTTCAAGAATTTATTAAATTGTCTTCCAGATCGAATTTTGAGCTGAAATTTGGTATCATTAAACTAGACTTTATGAGTAAAGTGCTCACAAAATTTCATCAAAAAAATTCACCGGGGAGACCCTCTGATGGTCTTGTCTTCACGGAGCTTTTCTTCAGGAGCTCCTGATAGGAACGAGACTCTTGTAAAGATTATCCATAGGATTCTGTAATTGTCTTCAACGAAGACATCCTTTTGGATATCTTCTACGAATAATCAGAACGATTTGTAGCACAGAAGGTAATCACACGCAGCAGTTATACTTCGATCATCGCATTTCCCCCCCAAACCTAGCAGATTTGTAGCACGGAAGGTAATCACTCGCAACAATTATATATTTTGATCATCACATTTTTTCCTCAAACCTATCCCTTGACATATGGATAATGGAAATGGTCGAAGCACTGGTGCAGCCCGCACAACAATTATGATCGCAACTTTAAGATTCCAATATGTTAGAAAAATATTCGGGTTGTAACATGTTGAAGGTATGGCCGGTTCGAGCCTTGTAGGATACTCCCTCCGTCAATTAAAATGTTATCAAGTTTAACTGGCACGAGAACTAATAAGGTAAAAACAGTGTGATAGGTTTGTGCAGAGGAGATGAAATTGATTGAAACCACAATTTTTTTGTTTAAAATGGAAAGTAAGAAAGTTAGTGAAACATTCTAAAAATGTTACTCCCTCCGTCCCAGAATTAACTTCGGTTTTGACTGGGCACGGAGATTAAGAAAGTGGGAAATGTGTGGTGGAGAGTTGTGCAGAGGAGAGAGAAATGTGTAAGAATGGTTGTGAATCACAAATCCTTTGCTAAAAAGGGAAAGAAGAGATAAATTTGGGACGAACCAAAAAGGAAAGAATGAAGATAATTATGGGACGGAGGGAGTAACAAATTTTAATGGACAATGCGAATATAATTTTACCATTCAATATGGCCCCTGTCACTCCTGGCTACGCCTT